ACTAATGAAAAATATTGCATTTCCTTTCAGATAAGTCCTCTCTCGGCTTCATGTTTTGGGAAGTTTTATGACCTGTTTTTCCCTATTTAGGGCAACAAGTTATTCCTCTCTTTGCATTCTAGTGTTCCTGTCTAAAGTTGGAGCCAGCCCTGTGTCTTCTGTGCCTATGTGGTTGGAGCCCTCAGAACTTTCTGGGTTTGGAATGGTTCTCACCCTTTCTCACTGTTTTTTTTTTTTATTAAAAATTTTTTTTTCCCCTTTATTTTATTTTATTCTTTTTAAAGTTGTAGATTTACAATTTTTTGTGCTTTGGTTTCAATTATACAATGATCAGATACCCATCCCTCCACCAGTGCCCATTTTCCACCACCATGGATAATATCCCTCCCACCCCCATCCCCCCAGCCCCCCGTCTCTGTGGCAGGGCAATCCCCTGTGTTCTCTCTCTCCTTTTGGGTGTTGTGGTCTGCAAAAGAGGCATTGAGTGGCAAACATGTTCAGTCCATAGTCTACTTTCGACATGCATCTCCCCTCCTGGGAGGATCCTCCAAACATCCTTTATTTGGTGCTCCCTTCTCTATCTGAATAGCCCTTTCCTCTAGGATACCCGGCTGGCCTCTAAGTTATGGAGTAATCCTCCTGGTGCTGATCTCAGCTATTCTTGGGTATTAATCTCATACTTTGTTACAGTGAGACATCATGAGGTACAGTTGCAGACTTACACATTTTTGTGCTTGGGTTTCAATTATACAATGATCAAATACCCATCCCTCCACCAGTGCCCATTTCCCACCACCACGGATCCCAGTATCCCTCCCATCCCCCATCCCCCCATCTCACCCTGTCTCTGTGGCAGGGCATTCCCCTCTGTTCTCTCTCTCCTTTTGAGTGTTGTGGTTTGCAAAAGAAACACTGAGTGGCAATCATGTTTGGTCTACAGTCTACTTTCAGCATGCTTCTCTCATCCTGGGAGGATCCTCCCAACACCTTTATTTGGTGTTCCCCTCTTTATCTGAGTTCCCTTTTCCCCTAGTATGTGTGGTTGGCCTCCAAGTCATGAAGTAAAATTCCTGGTACTAATCTCAGCCATTCTTGGGTGTTAGTTTCCTATTTTGTTACTTTATATACCCCAGATGAATGCAATCTTTCTATGTCTATCCCTTTCTTTCTGAGTCATTTTGCTTAGCATGATACTTTCCATGTAGTACCACTTGTATGTAAATTTCATCTCACTGTTTTTTTTTTTTTCCCTCTTTAGGACAGGACTGTTTTAAACTGGATAGGATCTGAGGGTCGATTAATACTATATTTAAAAATGCTATGTAGTTGTATATTCACTTTTTGGCATAAGATCTGTAGACTCACAGGTGTTCATGAATTTTCTACAGAGGCCTAAAACTCTAAAAATTGTTTTGCTGAAGAAGGTATTCTAGGAACGTTGGATAGTAGGTATCTTTAGAGTACTTTAAATAGTCAAATTAGCTCAAATCAGTTCTTTTTGTCCAACCATTTATCTAATTAACGCGAACACTGCTTTAGACATAATTTTCCTTTGTTTTACTGCAATGTGTTTCAGTAATTGATGTTTTCCTGCCCTGACCTCTAAGGAAGGGTGAACCCCTATTTGATAACAGTTATAAATCTGGGAGAGATGCACAAAATTACTATTTCAGACTATATTTTAGTGATTTCCTAAAGGTAAAGGTAAAGGTAAAGGCCCTCCCGTTGATCATCGATTTGCTCGAGCGGGCCCAGTAACGTCTCCACTGGAGATTTTGTTGTTACTGTGTCTGGCATATCGAATACTCTCGGTAGCTTGCCGGGCTAAAAGACCTTGCCATTTTCCAAGTTGAAATAAGACTACAGGGTTAGAACAACTGTTTAATTCCTCCTTATAGTTTCTTTTAAAAGACTGAGGTGAGAAACCGAGAAAAACTGCTGTAATTGGAAGTGATCGATAATTGTGATATCATGCTGTTCCTGGCTGGGGGAGACAGGATTTGGACAGAGGGGGCCCATATAATAGACTCTGCCAGGCACTCTTAGGTACTATTACAACATGCACCACCAACTTATTGGTTTCCAACAACAATGCAATATTCCTCATAGCCTGGAGTATGAAGTCTGTTATGAGCTTCACTGGGTAAAAATCAAGGCATAAGAAGGGTTTCTAGGAATTTCCTTTCTGGAGACTTGGGAAAATCCCTTACCTTGCCTTTTTCATTTTTGGAGGCCATCTAGATTCATTCATTGGTTTGTGGATTCCTTCAGTCTTCACGGTCACAGTCCTCTCGTTGTTCATCAATTTGCTCCAGCGGGCCCAGTAACATCTCCATCGTGAGACTTGTTACTGTGTCTGGCATATCGAATACGTCACGGGTAGCTTGCCAGGCTTTGCTGTGCGGGCGAGATACTCTTCGGTAGCTTGCTGGGCTCTCCGAGAGGGATGGAGGAATCAAACTCTGGTCAGCCACGTTGGCCGCTTGCAAGGCAAATGCCCTACCGCTGTGCTATCACTCCAGCCCTCCTTCAGTCTTTGAAACTAGCAATAGTCTTTCCCATCTTTCCAGCCACTGGACTCTCTCTCATACTTCTCCTGTCCTTCCCATACTTCTCCTGTCCTTCTCATATTTTATATAATTCTCTCCCAGTCACCCAGATCCTCTCCATGGTGCTATCTCCTTCATTCTTTTCTGTCATCACATCTCTCTCTCTGCTTATGGCCAGGAAATATTTTCTGATTTTAGGGACTCATGTGACTAGAATATCTAGGATGGTCTCTCTCCACTAATGTCTTTTATTTAGTCACCTCTGCAGAGTTCTTTTTCCACATCAATGAACGTAGTCACAGATTCCAGGAGTTAGATATAAACATTTGGAAGAGAGGCACTATTTTGTTTCCACAGATACCAAAACACGAGTTAGGCATGCTGGTTGTATTAAGAGAAAGCTGGATTTGGCTTTATAAACCTGAAGTACTAGTCACAGAATTAGTCCAATGAATGATTTTTCTGCTCTGTTGGCTTAAGCTTCTTCACTAGGAAGTGAATTTTGGGGGGAGAGACTCCTACAAACGTGGTATGAACCTGATAGTTTATTGCTTGGGCCCAGTGTTGTGGTACTGCTTTGGCCTGTTGGCGCTGTGATCTACCAGAGCCATCCCTGTTTTGCATGGGAGGATGAACTTGGGACCTTAAGCATACAAGGCTCGTGCTCCATCCCATTGAGCTAGCTTCCTAACCCATCACCAAATCTTAATTTTGCTTTTAATTACTTAATGCGGTTATTATAATTTAATTATAATTAACATGACAATAATAAATCATATAATATAATCATTCTAATTTATGTTGTGCAGCACCACCTAAATATCTCAAGAAATATCACCATGGAAATCCAGATGCTCCTGGGATTGTTGTGGTTGAAAGATCCTGGACTCCGCTCTGGGATTGCCCTCAATTGAAGGGGCAATTTTGCCCCCAGTCACAGTCTTTTGAGGTGCATCAGATAGCTGCATCCACAGACCCCTCTATGGGGGACTGGAGCTAAAAAAAATTCAGCCATTGTACCCTAACGATTTGAAAGATCATCACAACTTCAGATTCTCCTGAGGCTTGGCTGCAGCCTCTCTTGCAACTTCTCCGTCCTCCTCCTTTGACTTCCAAGAGTAAATTTGTGGTTCACTCCCTGTAGATCCCCATACACAAAGTTTCATCTCTTAGAGCTGGTTCCCAGGGAATCTGATCATCTGAATGTGCTGCAGGCCCTTTTCTGTTATTTGTTATTTTGGTATTTGATCATCTTGATTTTGTTTTAATGTATGCCTGGTTATTTTGGGTTGTGCGCTTGACACGCTGTGTGAAAATCGTAATAACTTGGCATGTGTTGCCTCCCTCCTGAGGATTTACTCTTACTCAAACAGCATTTATTTAGGCTGGCACAAGAGCCCTGGCACTCAGCTCACCCAAGACCTGGTCAAGAATTGAAATGGATGTTGTTTTAGTCTGCTGACGGGTCTGGTTCACCTGTACTTGGGCTGTAGTGCTTTGCTGGGTCCTCTATGGTGGGGCCTCCATCTGTAATTTTCAGTTCTGTGAGTCTCACAGAAATTTTCAGCATTAGCCTCTTTGCTACACTCAAAACTGGCAGATGCTGCTGGGTGAAAAGTGAGTAGCTGGGCTTTTCACCTTTTTCAATCTTGGCATTTCTTTACTGTTTCCATAGCTTTCTCAGTCCTTGAGACAAATGTTGAGTGTTTTCTTTCCATTTTCTTATTGCCCTTTTCCTGAGTTTTGGTTCAAACCACTTCCTCGCCTCTTAGTAAGATCCATCTTCTATTATCATGTTGAAAGTGTTTTTTTTTTTATCAGTCTTTCTAAATTTTCAAAGACTTGAAAATTAAATAATTTTGCCATTGCTTTGTAAATAATTCATCTCCTTACTGCTTAACTTCTTAACTTCTGTGACCATTTACAATTATTTGCTTATGGAATCTGAAGGAAAATTGTGTCACGAAGTATATAACATTTGGAGGTTAAGAAATTATTTTTTTTCTCCACCCTCAAAAGTTTTTTTTTTTTTTGGGTCACACCCAGAAATGCACAGGGGTTATTCCTGGCTTTGCACTCAGGAATCACTCCTGGAGGTACTCAGGGGACCATATGGAATGCTGGGAATCGAACCCGGGTTGGCCACATGCAAGGCAAATGCCTTGCCCACTGTGCTATCGCTCCAGCCTAAGAATTTTTTTTTAAGAGGTATGTGGGCCAGTCCTGGAGGTAGTTGGGGACTGAGCATAGGACAGTTGCGTGCAAGACAAGCGCCTTAATCCCTGTGCTATCTCTGCCATCTCTCCGGCCGTGAATGTTTTATTAAATCTGATTTGAACTGCAGACACTTTGCACCTTTACTTCATCAACAGCAGAAGGGGTACCTGCCCTTTGAATCTTTATCTGTCACATCTAACTCCATAAATGTGTATGTTTTCTTCTCTCTCGTAGGCACGTGCTCTAACACCTCAGACCGCAGAAACAGATGCCATTCGGTTTTTGGTTGGGACACAGTCTCTCAAATATGATAATCAGGTAACTATTTTTGACAAATGTATACATGTTAATTACTATGCCTATTCTTAGTTTTATAACCATTTTGCTCTTTTTTAATTTTTTTCAAGTAACATTTGGGAAAAAGTTAATGCCACACAAAACTTTTATTGGGATTTAAATAGCCGTCTCTATGCAGTGATTGAGTTCAGTTATTTAAACTTACTTCATGTACTGCTGCTGTTGTAGATCTATGTTTTGGTTGTGTGGTTTATATAGGTTTTACGTGTGAATGACTGCCAAGTCCTCACTGGCAGACGCTGGCCCTTTTTCACTTGGGCCAGTGGATGACCTCTTTATTTTTTTAATTTATTTTATTTTTAACTTTTTAAAATTTTTTTAATGAATCACTGTGAGGTACAGTTACAGACTTACAATTTTTTGTGCTTACATTGCAGTCATACAGTGATCGAGTACCCATCCCTCCACTAGTGCCCATTCTCCACCACCAGTGTTCCCAATATCGCCCCCCATCCATTCCCCCTGCCCTGCCCCCTCTGCCTCTGTGACAGGCACATTCCCTTTTACTCTCTCTCTCTCTCTCTCTCTCTCTGCTTTAGGGTGTTGTGGTCTGCAATGCAAGTATTGAATGGCCATTATGTTTGGTCTATAATCTACTTTTGACACACATCTCCCAGTGGATGACCTCTTTAATTGCTTAAATCCAGTGCTTTTTCCATCTGACCCTGGATGAGACCATGATCTCATCCCAACTCAGAATTCTAGACGGTTACCACGAGTTGATCCAGGCAGACATATAGGTTGTGGCCTCTTTGCTTTGGCCATGTAGTGGAAAGAAGATAGGGCTTGGGGTTCAATTCTCAGCTTGACCCTAGCCTAGTAATCTTGAGCAAACAGTTGATTTTGTGCTGTGGTTCATTCTCCTTAGCATATGAAATAGACATGAAAGTGTCCACTCTCCTGAGGGGCACAGAGGGTGCCAAGGTATGTGCTGACTGGCTCTGGGGAAAGGTACACTTGGTCTTGTCAAGTTGGGCTGGCCCCTACTTAGAGGAAGTGCTATAAAAGAAGCAGAGAAATATTCAGTGCTGGTGAGGGTACAGTAAAGTTGGCACTCCCACGTTGATGAGAGACGTAAAATTGGCATAGTCATTTGGCAACTAATCTGGTGATAGAGATCTAGACCTTAAAATATATTTAAAAAGAAACTCAAAATAACCTATCCCAAAATAATTCCTATCCCAAAACATATATGTTTTGTATATAAGGATATATTTATAGACCAGAGAGAAAGGACAGGGGCTCAGGCTCTGTACCTGACCTGGATTTGATTCTTTGCACCCATTATGGCCCCCTGAACTTTACTAGGAGTGATCTCTGAGCTCAGAGCCAGAGTAACCCCTGCCAGGTATGACCCTGACCCCCCCCCCCCCCCCAACACACACACCAAGTAAAAAGTAAAAGATTTACATAAAACGTGTCACTGTCACTGTCCTCCCGTTGTTCATCGGTTCGATTTGCTCAAGCGGGCCCAGTAACATCTCCATCGTGAGACTTGTTGTTACTGTGTTTGACATATCGAATACGTCATGGGTAGCTTGCCAGGCTCTGCCGTGTGGGCGAGATACTCTCAGTAGCTTGCCGGGCTCTCCAAGAGGGGCGGAGGAACCGAACTCGGGTCGGCCATGTTGGCTGCGTTCAAGGCAAATGCCTTACCGCTGTGCTATTGCTCCAGCCCACGTAAAACGTGTAATTTTTAAATTTTAATCACTGTGATTTACAGTTTTTCAATGCTGTCAATAATAGGTTTTTATGGATATAACATTCCAACATCACCCTGTGCCCACCTGCATTATCTCTTTCCTTCTCAGGGCTCCCCCCTTAGTACCTCCACTCCTTTATCCCTCTTCACCCCCCATATCACTGTCATGGAAAACTCAGTAAAAAAAAAGTTTATTTTAATAGTACATATAAGAATGGAGAAGTTAGAAGTACAAGTTAGATTAGATAATATGAATGTTTTGTTTTTAAAGTTAGTTTATTTGGGGATTTTAGTTGTACTCCTCATTCTTTGCTTAGGGAGAGTTCACTTTCTGCCAGTGTTTGAGGACCATGTGGTGCCAGGGATTGAGTTAAGGGCTCCCACATGTAAAACATGTACTCCAGCCCTTTGGGCCTTACCCCAACTCCAATTTATAATTTCTGGGATCAAACAATTTGGACCTGGTTACTCTCGGTTAACTAATACACCTACTCTGTCACAAAAATAAAAACTCATATACACTATAAGAGTTGTTACATACTTAAGTGAAGATTACATATGTAATTTATTGTTCTTGTGTGAAAAAAATAAAAAGGAAAAGGCAAAATAGAATCTTTATCTAGAGTAACAACTGGAAGGACATAGGTTCCGGGTATCAACATATGAGCCACTTTTGAACCAGTACTACCAGTACTTGGTGAAATAGGACTTTTTTTACGATTTTCTGATTCTTGTGCTTGTATGTATATGTGTTTGTTACTTATTTCCTGGGAATTGTCAAATGGGAAGGATTTACTTATAAAAGTGGTTTGTAGTGGCCACCTCACAGTGAAAGGGGACACTTCAGAGAGAGGATGGCTGACCAGGGAACCCGGTGGTTAGCGACAGGCTGAACTGCACTGTTCAAACCTGTATTGTTCAAAGATCAACAACCTTAATTTTGGTCATAATCTGCCAACCACTCAATGACAGGACTGTGCTTCTGGACTCACTTCAGCTTGTCCAATTAAAAAAAAGTTAGTTCTGTCACTGTCACTGTCCTCCCATTGTTCATCGATTTGCTCGAGTGGGCCCAGTAACGTCTCCATTGTGAGACTTGTTACTGTGTTTGGCATATCAAATACGTCACAGGTAGCTTTAGAAATGACTTAGTCATAGATTTGTAAGAACAGACCTTTAAGGAAGGTAAGCAAGACCTTAATGCCCTCTGACGACACAGGATGATTGTAATTTGCTGATCACAGAATAAAATCAGCAGTGCAGTAGACACTACTCCTCCAACTTTGCTGGGTCACTTCTCTGCAGAGACACCTGGAAAGTGTAGGCTCCCATGCCCCAGGCCCACAGCCCTCATTAGGAGGTTGGGCTCAAGAATTTGTATTTCTGGGGCTGGAGTGATAACACAGCAGATAGGTCGTTTGCCTTGCATATGGCCGACCCAGGTTTGATTCCCAGCATCCCATATGGTCCTCTGAGCACCACCAGGAATAATTCCTGGGTGCATAAACCAGGAGTAACCCCTGTGCATCGCCGGGTGTGACCCAAAAAGCAAAAAAAAAAAAATGTATTTCTTAGAGGCATCAGGGGCCACCTTGGAGTGGCACTAACATAGTGAATTAATATTATACAAGGTGGTAGGTCAAATCAGCTTCTTATGACAAAGTGTTTATATCCGTCTTAGCAAATGCAGTTTTGGGGCACATATCCCCAGTTTCTAGAATATAAACTATTAGTCTTTGGACCAAGTGAAGGAAAGCTTCTCATTTTATTTTATTTTTGGTGAAGCAACATAGTTTTTTTTTTGGGGGGGGAGGAGGGGCAGAGCATTTATTTATTTATTTTGCTTTACATTCTCTAATTTAAAAATTTTTAATTAACCCTGATTACAAAGTTATTGATGGTTGAGTTTTAGGCATATAATATTTCAATACCAATCTCACCACCAGTGTCAGCTTCCCTCCACCAACAGTATTCCCATAGTCTAAACCCTTCCCCTATCCACACTTCTCCCCCGCAACACACACACACACACACACACACACACACACACACGCACGCACGTGCACACACACACACACACAAACATACACACAAACACCTTGACGGGCACATTACAGAGTCCGGTGGTGAAACACGATAGTTTTTATTGAAACTTATTTAGAAAGATGTGAGGAGAGAGAAAGAGAAAAGGAGAAGTGTGTGTTCGAGAGAGAATGAAGGTTTCTCCAGAGTCAGAATTGGCAAGTAAAGAGACATAGGGACAAGCAAGCAAGATATGTGTTCAAGGAAGAACATGGACTTCAAGTGCAAGCCAATATTTTCACTTTAAATGAACAACTTCATTTAAAAAAAATTGTGCTATGCTGAAAGTAGACTACAGAACAAACATGATTGCCACTCTTTTGCAGACCACAACGCCCAAAAGGAGAGAGAGAACAGGGGGGAATGCCCTGCCACAGAGGCAGGGGGGGATGGGGGGATGGGGGGTGGGAGGGATACTGGGACCCGTGGTGGTGGAAAATGGGAACTGGTGGAGGGATGGGTGTTTGATCATTGTACAATTGAAACCCAAGCACAAAAAAATTGTAAATCTACAACTGTACCTTGTGGTGTTTTACTAACAAAAATTGAAAAAAAAAAAGTAAATGATGGAGAATGGACACTGGTGGAGAGATGGGTACTGGATCATTGTATAACTGAAACCCAAGCACAAAAATTTGTAAGTCTACACCTGTACCTTATGGTGTTTCATTAATAAAAATTAAAAAAAATTTTTTTTGTGCTATACCTGGCTCTGTACTCAGGGATCACTCTTGGCAGTGCTCGGGGGACTATATGGGATGCTGGGGATTGAGCTGGAGTCAGCTGCAAGCAAGGCAAACACCCTACCTATAGTACCATTGATCTGGTTCCCAAACTTCACTTTTTGCTGGTGGACGTCAGGGTCTCCCCAGCTGAATTTGAGCCTGGATTCTGAACTGCTACCCCTGATGATGCCTGTGGGCAGCCAGGCGGTGGCAGGCATCCAACTCTGGGCCCTATGTGTAAGCCATGTGCTCCTGAGTTCTCTGAGCGGTCTCCTTGGCTCCTGAGCAACTTCTTACTAATCTATTTTAGAAACTCATGTTTCCAGCTCTCTGTTTAACTAGAAATTTCTGGCAACAAGGATGTAACTGTTTAGAACTTTTTCCAGCCCCCCAAGATGTGATGCCTACCCAAGAGCTTGCTTAAGTACTGTTGCTTTTTCATTCAGACTTCC